ACCCCACCCACCTTGGTTAGAAAACTTGTAGATTTCAGAATAACGTTTGTCCGTGTGTGTGTGACGTGCTATTGCAGCTTCAGCCATAACAGGCTTCCTTTACGCCAACATATTTCTTACAGCTATAAATCTACCATAACCACGTTCATTGTTTTAGAGTGGCTATAAATAAAAGTCTATAGTTTAATAATCTGTACAAGTGATTGAAGGCTGAGGTTTGTAGATTAAAGGGTATCTAAGGTGAGCCTGTTTCTGTCCCATAGTGTGTGTGTATATCAAATGGTGTATTGAAATTGCTATGTTAGTAATTCCAGTGAATGCTTTTCACACTACATAAAACTCCCTGCAAAGCAAGAATGATGAAAGATTTCATTTCACTTTCAGAAATTTCAACATGAATATTCTTTACAGTTCTGTGTCTTTTCTGGGGAAAGGGAATTGACAGTGTTTTTAATGCGTATGTTTCATCTCATTGGTCATGAAACTTTATCTGTATAGGTAAACACATGTATATACACATAAATATGTGTATATATATAAAGGAAAGAAAGAATACATTCTTTTAGAGCCTTAGAAATAAATTAATTTATGAGTGATGTTACTTACAACTGTAGATCGCAATTTAGACTTAAAGGACATGTAACTTGATGAATCTTACAAAAAGATGTCTTCCACCCAGTCTGTTCTTTTTAAACAACTGACATAGCTTTCATTAACCATGTTGTCAGGAGATGTCTTTATACCTGTATTATATAATTTAGTTTCACTTTTACTGGTTATTTCCAATTAGCCATCCTTAATCCAGAACAAATATTGTAACACGTTTAATAGAATTTAAGACTTTTGAAGGATAATATGCTTTCTACATTACTACAGAATGAATGACAAATTTCACATGCTTTAAGATTACAAATATAGCTATTTTGAATGCCAACTGGATGCTCTTGGAAATCTTTAAATACAGATGATTTCCAGGTTAAGGGTAGGACATTCCTGCTTACTTTTTTCAGTGAACTGACACTTCAGAAAGCCCCTCAACCATCACTGTTCAGCAGCTTCAGATATACCTTGGCCATCTTTTTAGTTGTGTCAGCTCAACATGGAGCCCTGTGCTTGATAAGCACATGGGCCAAATCCTGCTCGTCATCTTCGGTTTGATAGTTTTATTAGGGCTTAGTGGGGCTATTTGCAAAGTTTATTAAAGAAAGAGCCCTATTTCTGACCCATGCACAAAAGTGACACTTCTCTGTATTTGCTTCTTAAAAGTGTGTATTCCTGTGTATATATAAAAAAAAAAAGAAAGGACTTTATGCAAGTAAGATACTGCATATTAATAATACAGTGTTTGATCTAAGTGTTCAGTTAGATTTAACCTTCGAATTTACCATGTTCCAAATTTTAGAGCATTCTGCTTGTTTACTTAAATACTTCGGTTCAGACTTAATCCCCTGTAAAGCTGCTTAATTTTCAACCATTTTTTTTTCAAAATATAAGTATTGCTTACATTGTTTATTATATGATATGATTATGTCCTTGTTAATCCACATTTTGAAATTACTGTTCACTGAAGTAACAATAGATTATTGTCATGGTAATCAAGCATTTATGCTTTATTGTTTAATGTTAATTAATGGGGGAAAAAGAAGTTTTTCTAATTCTATAGCCAGAAATTAAAAAAAAAACCTTAGAACAGATGTTATTGCTTTATAGAGTATTGTAGATGGAAAGAGTTTGGTAAGAATTTAGTGGTTTTCTTCTGGTTATATTGTTCATGTGAGCTTTGATCATAAACAGCTAAATTAAAGCATAAAATTTGTATCTGCTTATATTATTAGAAGTCTAGTATGAAATTGGAAATATCATTGCTCTTATTTAGATTTTGTAATTTGGTTTATTGCTGTTTTTCATATCCTAAAGAAACAAAAAGAAACATTCCTGTTAATATTACTATCACTGTCATGATAGTTTGTTCTGATTCATTTTTGTTTGATGATAGAATTTTATGATAGATACTAAACTGTATTCTCTTGAAGGTGCCGTGTGTCCTTTAATGAAAACAGTTGTCCATCATCTCAAACAAATCAACAGAGACAGTCTTGGTGTTGCAGGTAAATGACTGCATTAATATGGATATCTGAATTAATTGGCTAGTAGTGGATGTAATCACAGTCCGACTGAAGCTGGCTTGAAGACTGAAAGGACAGTATAGAATGCCACCCCCATGCTCCAAAAGCTGTTGTTTTTAGGAAGGTGGGGTTAAAATCAGAACATGGTGTTCTTTGGAAGTATTGGTTCAAGTTCTGCAGCCACACTCATTTCCGTTGTTTTTCCCAAACATCCTTCGTTCTTATCAGTTCAGATGATAAAAGGAAATAATGAATGCATTTCTCAGGTTGCGAAGTCATCTACTGAATGAATTTTGCACTGATAGTTTCTCTGTCGATAAAACGAATATTGGAAGTTTCTCTGACTTAAAGTACTGGTTTTCAAAATAGCTCATCAGTCTGTACTCTAGAAAGTCACCAAGCATGCTAAAAGTCAGTATTTACCTCTGTTTTTTAAATTCCATTAAACAAACTAAATCATTGTATCATATTTCACAGGGTTTGATCTGGCAGAAAGCTTTTCTTTGAGGCAAACGTCTTGTGGAGGGGAAAAAATCTGTTTTAAACTGGGAAGCGCACCTCTCGTCAGAGACACAAAGTAAGTAAGATACTACTTTAATTGTAAGTCTTTAAAAGACAGAGCTCAGACTAAAGCTACTAATGAACTGAAACACTGAGCAGTGTATCCAAAGGATGCCACAGAAAGACAAGTATATCTGTTTTCAGGCATTTTCATCTGTAACAGTTTTTTCTTCAGGAAGCATGTTGATTCAGGTGTGTTTTTCTTCTGGAATCTGGAAGTATCTAGGTAGAAAGTTAATTGCAAATATCTGTTTCTCAAATTGTGATTCTGATACTGAAAACTGTACTGTTTATACATAATTATTTATAAAACAAAGGAAACAAAGAACTTTCATGGTATGACAAGAAGTGTTATACTAATCTTCCCTCAGTCAAACTGGCTGTCCTCTCTCTCATTACTGCTGGCAGGATTAAAAAGAGAGAGAGAGTCACCATTTCCTTAAACGCTGTATTTTCATGATTTTTTTTTTTTCCAGTTGAATTGGCGTCTTGCCTTTGAGCAGCAACAGATGGTGGGTAGTCAGTGTAGAGGTGAAACTAGGCAGCATCCTATTCCGACACAGGGTGGGATGGAAGGCAGAGACCGCATGAAAAATCAAAAGGAAGGTGAAAGAGAGTAAAGCACAATGGGATCGAATGGATTTAAGTTTGCACGGGGACAAGGAAATGGCAAGAAGCAGTTAGGAATGTAGTTTCAAGTTCCCCATGCTCACTGGAGAGAGAGAGGATCATCTCAGAGCTTCTTGGTTGAGATGTGCTCTGAGTCATGGGGCTGTGGTTTCTGTACAGCGTGTTCCTGTGATGACGAGGGAAGCAACTGTATTCCCGTGTCTTCAGGTGGGGTATTCAGCAACTGTATTCCCGTGTCTTCAGGTGGGAAGAGACCTCTGTTGCAAGAGGTCTGGCTCCAGCTTGCCTAGGAAAAAATACACCCAGCCCTCGGGCTTCCCCTTTGCTTGGAGCAAAGATGGGCTGTGGGTAGCATGAGGCCAGGGGAGAGGGAGAAGAGAGGAGTCGGAGGCACCCAGACAAAAAACAAAATGATCTTTCAGAGAGAAGAATGATTAAAGAAATAGGACCTAAATATTCTAGATTACTAGAGATAGATTCTAAGTTTTTCTGAGGTATTAGATACTGTAAATACTAAATTTTTATGCTTGTGTAATTGTGCAAAGTTAAAGTAATTGCTGTCTTTTTTTAAATACCTTGGACATCAGCTATTGAAGGAAAAATGACTAGATAAAATTACTTGACACAGAGAGTGCTCTATTTTTATTAGGACCTTCCCAGTATTATCAAGATTGTCTTTAGAAGAGGAACAGGTAAAATTAGGTACCACCCATGCATGTCTTTACTAAAAATATTTTGAAAGTTTGTCAGTAAGAAAACTTTTTTTTAAAATCCATTATTCATTTTTCATTTTTTTACAGATTTTTTTCCAATGGATGGGAATTTGAGGGAAACGTGAGACTATAGAAGAGTAGAAAATCAAAGCAATAACAAAAAACGTGGGGCAATTTTCCTGTAGGAGTAAGAAACTAAGGAGTGCTTTGTGTGCAGTGAAATGCATATTGCAAGCTGACTTACTGTATTCTGAAACTGTAAGAAAATCAATGGCAAAAATGGAGTGAGAGGAGCTAGAAATTGGAAAAGGGTGAATTATTTAAAATTCATATTACTTTGTGGGAAAATGGTTTAGTGGGCATGGTGGTGTTGGGATGACGGTTGGACTCGATGATCTTAGAGGTCTTTTCCAACCTTAATGATTCTATGATTCTATGAAAATTAATGATTTGCAAGGATTGATTTCTAAGAATTTGGTGGGTTTGGAAGGGGTCTGACAGGTGATGCTGAGGTTGAAAAATATAAAGCTTTTTTCCTAGCTTTTATTAGTAGGCCTGAATACTAATGTCTGTGTTTTATTTTCTTCTTTTAAAAAGAAGAAAGTGTTTATTAGTGAAGGCAGTGAAAATGGGGAATTCACGTCATGGCTGATAGCTATGGCTTAGCAAAGCCTTAACTCTTAGTGGTTGCAAGGAAAATACTCGAGAAAGACAATACTTCTTTCTTTTCTTTTTTTTTTTTTTTTTTAACTTTCTTTATGGAGCGGGAGAGAAATCTAACAGATTTTTTTTCTATATTTTATCTGTTCAGCTTTTTGGAGGGAGGATGACTCTTTGAGACAAAAATGGCTAGTTTTTCTTCATTTTTGGTGCAACTTGGGCAGGAATAAAGAATTTCAGTAGAGGATAAACCTGGAAGACAGATGGTTTGGTTTTAACGGTCTCCTGCTTCTCATGTTCCTCTCCCTGTTGTTTTCTTCTGTGTATCCTCATTAAAGAAAAACTAAAGAGAAAATTTTCCCAGTTTCCCCTAAAAATATGCGTATCTAATGGATGAAAGCTTTAGCTGGATGAAGCAACTGAGATGATTATTAATAAAATGCATAACACTGCTAATGTATGAATATAGTTAGGCTGAAAATTAGTATCACATTATTGATGTTAATAAGGTACAAGCTTTTCAGTCAGCTTGCTGTGGAAGTAAATAGTACCTTTTACATATAACTTCCTGGGAAAAAAAGGGTTAAAAGTATTTTCAATAACATTCAAGCATTGCAGAATTTCTATTAAATCCTAGTTCTTCATGGCAATAGTCTTGCTCATGCTTTTTTAACCTTTCTTCATAGAGAAATGCATGTCATAATTAAGAATAGAATTTACTTTTTTTGATACAATATGTTGAATATATAGTAGCTTTCAGTTGTTGAGATAATTTTTAAAAATCTTGTCTTAAGTGTTATTTGTTTAAAGTATTTTTGATACTCTTCTGAACTTCTGAGTTGTTTTTTAAAAATAAGGGCAGAGGGCAGTCCGGAGCACAAAGTCAGGTTTTGACGTGGTAGGGATACAATGAAGGATAGTCAGGAACTCAGATATCTGTCATCATAACGGTATAATTTACTTTATCTCAGTTATCCACGTAAATATCTTGTAATTTATTATTTTTATTTAAATCTTCTTCTCTTACATTATGTCAGATTGTGTGGTTCCAGACCCCTTGTGTTATTAGACGCACAGAGGTTTTTAGGATCATTCTGCCTCAGAAAATATTTTAGTAGACGTGGTGTGCAGTAAGCAGCAGAACAGTGTTTGTTATCCATCCTGCAGGAAACTGAGAGTATCTGATTAAGCTGACTAGCAAGTATCAAGTAACTTGGCACATCTCCTCTTGCATTTCATTCATTCAGTCGTAGTGTGGGTAATAGAAAGCTATGCTGTGCCATTTTTCTTGTGTGATGCCATTTTGGTTTTTTTTTCAATGGACCTGGAGTAGTGTTGCACCTATTTATATGTTGTAAATAATTTACAATGCAATGTCAGCTTGGGAAATCGATTATGTCTATTTGTGTTGGATTTTAGTTATATCTTTTATCTTTATCTCTTTTTGTGAGGGAGTTCTGTACGTATTTTGTCTTGTGATAGGAGATGGATAGCTTTTCTTATGCTCCATGTAAATGACTATTAAATATTAATTTAATTCTAATAATATTTTCAAAACTAAAGGGTGATTTTTAAATTAAAATACTGTGAGTTACTTATTGCAATTCTTACGTGGACTTTAATAGAAGTTATTCCTGAGCTAAGTAGCATAACTGAGCCTTTGAATCCTAAAGAAATTCACAGTAAGATACCATTATGCAGACAATCTAATTATATAGTCATAATAATAGCAATTGTATAAGGTTTTAATTTTATTTCAATAAATACATTATGGAGTCATATTTTGTTCTCTAGAGTTTAACATGTACTGCCTATGCAGTGTATTCCAGTTTGGCATGGAGCTTGTTCAAAAAAGCAGCACAGGGCTCTGTGCTGATAGCGACTCCTTTAGATCTGCCAGCAGTATTCAGTACTTCTGGACATCAGGCCTTTTAGGCTAATCTTTGTTCTTTAGTTGCCTTAGAGTAAATAGCACTATGATGAAATAATTTCACTGTCCTTCTCTAAAGATGCATCAGATGTCAGTTGTTCCTCATTCTCACTTTTCTGGGTTGCTGGTGGGCCATTATTTTTCTCCTCTGAAAGCGCCAATAGAGGAGATAGGAAGTTGATTTCGGCTGAGTTTCAGAATGTTTTTGAAATGGATGTTTATGATTAGCAAATCTTAATGGCACAGTCACAGCTTTCTTATTTTATAGTTTGGCTTGACAAACCGTATTAATTTACTGAGGAGATTATCATAGCTGGCTGTTAAATGATCTCAGAGTTACAGCAGTTGGAATTACTTTCACAACTTTTTTAGGAATTCTTCCCCTTTCAGTGTAAGATACTGCAAAAGAGCTTGGATTTTGACTGTATTTGGACTACTGAGCTCCATCAGCAATGTTGTCACTCACTGCTGCCAGAAGAGCTGTGGCTTGGGCCATGTTTCAGAGAAAATGTTTCACCTCCTTGTGATGTCTAGTTATTGGATGCAGAAATACTGTTCCCACTTCTGTCAGTATATTCCAGGCTGGAGGATTCTTTCTGCTAAGAACAGAAATCGATGATGAAAGAATATTTATGTGGGTTTTTTTGGTTTTAATGCTAACCTTCATAATCACAAAAAATGCATAGGGAATTGCATTTCCTAGAGCACAGCTGGCATCGAGCGAGGCAGTTTCTGTGCTCACTGTTAGAAGCCTTTTCACAGCTAGCACTTCGCTCCCCGAAGGCACCTATCTCTGGGTGGCTTTGCAACCATTTACTTTGCCGTATGTTCTCTGGTTGTATCTGCTGAGACTTCTTTCTTCACCAAAATAATAAATACCGAGTTCCTTGCATATGACTTCAGCTGTCAGTGAATGTCCACATGGGCATGATTTTTGATCAGTTTTGCACATGGCATGTGTTTCGGGCAATGCAGTCAGGTTCAACAGTCTTCTTGAAAAATATTATTAAGATATATATTAAGAAGTAGTATACCTATTTCTTAAATACAGTATGGAATGGATATATGTGAAAATCACAAGTT